TCGGTCCATTAAAATCGATCTGTATAATTCTGATTTTTACTGCATATTTTTCCTGCTTTTAAAAAATTTAGAAAAAGAAATAAATTTAGATCTTTGTCACCAGAGTTTTCCTTTTTTTACTCTTTGATTTTTGCTATAATCTATTTCTACATTTTTCTAACAAAATTTACACTTTACCTTAAGTACGATTGAGCTGGGTCTAATACGTTGGAGGGCAACGAACGAATTTGTCAGTTAGGCTTGTTTTTCCGTTACGGTTTGCTTTTGCACGGACAGTTAAGCTTTCGACAGTGGAAAAGAGTTTGTTTGTTATTTTCGATCGTCGGGGATAATTTATTGTTTGTTTATTCATATTTACTGTTTTAATCAGCATTTTCAGTGAACAGATTCCTGCCAGTCCGGTGCTGGATTCGCATTTTCCACGAAATTCTGTGTTGATTTTCTGCATTTCACTATCTACGTTAACAAGTTTGAATATTACAACGTTTCAGCTCGAATCTCTCTGCCTCTGCTACGTGAAATGTCTCGATCGTCTGCCGGAATCGCTTCAATCAACAGAAGACGAAGAAGATGATGATTTTGCGTTGCAGGAAGCTTCGCAAGTTGAGCATGATTTCTTCAAAAAATTAAAGGTTTTTTTTTATAATTTTTTCGGATTTCTTTGTTTCTGATTTTTTTATCACTTCCCTTCTTCTGATTCCTCTTTTTCAGAGCGGCGAAATTAGTGTGGAAGCAGATAAAGATGGTGTAATTCGCTATAGTAACATGCCAACCTACTCAGAAGAGGAAATCAATAACTTCAATCTACAAGAGATTAAGTAAGTTATTTCCATTGTATTCTGTCATGCTTTTCTTGCATTACTTACTTAATTCGCTATCTTCACGGCCTATACTGGGCCGCAGTAATGCCGAATATGTAAGCTTACGAGTGGACAAAGCATACTATTGAATTTTACCTATGCGATAAGATTCGGGCGCTGAGTAAGCTGCAAATGAGATGAAAGGATATTCAGTTGTATAAGTAGCTGAAATAATATGAATGCATCAAGGTTAAGTCCGAGGAAGACTGGTTTGTTGCCAACCGCCTCGATGATGCTGAAGAGGGCATTGCGGTAGGATTACATCTACGTAGTTCAGGATTAACCTGGATACTGCAATGTGCTTAGTATATTTGTTAGATTTATAATTTATGAAGAAGAATTGCAGATTTAGCTTGGCAAATTTGGAGAAGCGTAAAGTCGGGAAAGTGCTTAACACCAATGGTTTACTTGAATATTTAACAAAGGTGAGTCCCATCCTTCATTTTATTTGAACTAGATTTGTTTTTGAACTCTTGCCTTGAGTTGTAGCCCGACAGATCAGTAACTACTGGTAAGCTACAATCCTTCAGAGGGTATATGTGGTAGATTGCTGTCATTTCCTGTTAGTTTCAATCGATGCGCTTTTGTGGCTAAATTTTGCTAAAGTCATAAGATTGTTTCAGATCATCATTTATTACATGTTATTTTCAAAAGGCTTGAATTAGCTGTGCAGAGTTCGCCAGTTATTCAATTGCCATGACAGTTTTCCCAGTTTTTTTTTTGACTAATTCTACATTAGCTGACGGCTAGGCTATCGGACGTCTGTTTCCTTTTTCTGAAAGGCTACTGGCTAAATGGTTCTCCCGATAGATGCACTTTAACAAGACTTCAGCTCGCAGATGGACAGTCGGCTGCCCACGAACCGGATCCAGCCCGCGACTGGTTTTAATCTGACCCACAGAGGCAGGAACGTGCTGCCTAACTTGGCGAGTCGGGAAGTTTGTGCTCCGCCAAATCACTACATTTTCATGAAAATAAATAGCGGTGCGCACTAGTGCGGCCCTTCTCTCCTGCATGCAAGAAAAGCCAAAACACAGGCGCACAAGTTGTACGTGTTAAACTGTAAAGAAACAATCATTAATAGGAGGCTGGAACTTCACAGAGATGTTCCTTGGCCCCGCCTAGTCCAAAGATTTCAAATTCAGCCTTCAACCATCTCCAGGTCTCACGTACGCAAACGTCAAAGTTTAAACTGGCATCATGCCTACTCCAGATTTAAGCTGATCACTACAATTAACGATCTGTCTTCACTAAGTTTAGCGCAAAAATGCACGGTCGCACGGGCAGGATTGATGTATTTTTAGCCAGGTTTTATTAAAAGATGGCCCGAAAGCTTAAGTAAGTATGTTAATCAGAGTCGCCTGTCGCCAAAGGTTGCCCATGCCTGCTTTAGCTGTTTAGTATGTCCCTTATTGTGTGCAGAGTACGATCCGATCAAAGCGTTTCCACTTCTAGATACCTTGTCGACTAGTAGAAATACATAGTTGTCAGATTTTTCAAAAGATAATTGAGCAAAATTAATCGAATTTTAACAGAGCGGATTAGAAATGT